TCTGCGGGTCTGTTTCTCCCCTCTAGGATGTCTGCCAGAGGGACAGGCATCTTGCTGCCTTGTTCACCTCCGGATTCCCAGCATCTACAGTAGACGCCTAGTGAATATGCACCACCTTCATGAACGCAGTTGTCAAGCTCCACGTACAAGGTGCTATATGATCTTAATTCAAGGACACAGGCATGTCCTTGAGACCATGGCCCCCGCCTCAGTTGACATGTAGTGAGGACCGTGTCTGTGTGAGGCTCTGAAGAGATGGGCTTGGGTCCTCACTCTGCCCTGCACCCAGCCCCGTGCAAACTTACCTGTCCCGTACCTGCTGCATCTGCCATCTCTGAGTTAGAGAACAGCAATCCTGGCTGATGGTTGACTGAAAGGCTCCCCTGGTTAACCCCAGTTCACGTATTTGCATCCTATGGGGAACCTTCTGGGAACATAATATGCCACGTGGGGACTTTAAATGGTAGTCGTTTTCGGATAGTTGACAGAGAGGGGGGCCTGAGCTGGTAGACTTAGGTTAAAACACAGCTCCATGCTAGTGCCTTTAGCATCCTGTGCCCTCTGTCCCACTCCCCCGATTCTAGCCACAGCCACCGTGGCTGTTCAGGGCAGGCTGAGAGCATCACCCTCTCACACACCATGCTTCCTTCTGCCCCAAGGCCTCTCAGACACTGAAGAGCCTGCATAGAGCAGGCCAGCAGTGGAGGAGGGTGTTCAGGTCCCTGGGAACAGCCCTGAGGGGGCAGAGACCAGTAAATACTCCTGCTCTCCTTCCTACAGGCGGATGACACAGGAACACACCTGCTGCCCCAATGTGTTGACACTCCCATGGCAAGAGGTGCCATCTCTTCTCCCCCACCCTAACCTTGGCGGGGGTCTTTGTGAAGGCCTCAAGGAGCAGAATGCAGCCAAGGGACATTCCATGACTTCTCAGGCTGGGTTAGAAAAAGCCATGCAGCCGCTGTTAATCATAGTGGGGACACTCACTCTGTGAGCCTATGGCTGCCATGTGAGAAGTTTGGGTAAGGCCACCACGTGGAGAGACCAGAGAAAGAGTCCCAAGGGGCTGGAGGGGGAGGGGTGGAAAGGGGAGGGGAGAGTGGGGAGGGGAGAGAGGCAGATGGAGAGAGATTGAGGTGAGGATATGCAACGCTGAGGAGCCCCTATTTCAGTCCCCCACTCAGGGCTCACCTTGCAGCAAGTGTCTAGAAGCCACCACCTGACTGCACGTGAGATCCAGGTGAGAGTTGCTTAGCTGACCCCGTCGACCCTCAGATTTGTCAGCAAAAAACAATTGCTGATTATGGTTTTCAGCGACTGCTTGGGGGGGGGGTGTCTTAATACTCAGCAATAGATAAAGCACTTATTATTAGCTTTTCCTGCTTGTTTCACTGTGGTTCACTGGGGACCATCTCCCCAAAGAAACCACTTGCCTTCAAGCCCTTGTCTAAGGTTCTGCATTCAAGATAACCAAAACCAAGGCCAGCACTGACCCGCTGGGTACATAAGGTCATTCAGCTTGGGTAAGGTCACTAACCTCAGCCTTGGGTTCTTCATCCCCAAAATGGCAAGAATATCGTTTTTAACCTAAGAGTCTCCTGAGGTTGAAATGAAAGAATCCTGATGAATTTAGCCTCTGGCAGCCAGTGTCCTGTTTGAGGTAGCTTATTGGCTCAGAGCACATTCGAATCCAGGTTCCAGGTGTGATGGGTATGGCAGGTACCTCGCACCCTACTCCCAGTGCTTAATTGCTAAAGGTGCCCAACTGTGACTGGGCCTGTCCACTGGCAGCCTTGCAAAACCCCAGCAGAGCAACGATGCCATCTACCTCTTCTTTGGCCCTAAGGGAGATGAAGTGGACTCTGTTCTTACAGAAATGTTATTGTAGCTTTCTGATAAAGATAATTGCTTGTCATAAACTATGTTTCCCCTGGTTTCTAGTTTTCTTTTCTAATCAAATTACCCCAACTGACACAAATTTAAGCAGTTTCATTTCAGGTCACAGAACTTAGTGCTACAATCAAGGATCTGAATGAAATTCCTGGCAAAATACAGTAATTAGAGGCACAATGAATGCAGAATTGAAATGTCCCAGCATCCCACAACACTAAGAGGCAGTCTGGTTAATTTCCAAATTATATTTGGGCTCAGTATGCAAGAGGTTCTTTTTTATTTATTTGGGCACAGAAAATAAGCCTGAAGATCATTACAATAACCACACAAGACTAGGAACGTAATTATAAAATAAGCCATACCCTAGCAGGCAAATCATTTTAATGTGTTTTGAGAACTGAATACTCTGTATGGAATTAAAAACAAAGAAAAAAAAATCAACGTGCAGAAAATTAATTAAAAAGAAGACACAGAAAAGCTTCCGGTGTCATCAAGTTACAAAGACAAAAGCAACAAATTAAAAAACAAACACATGCGATTACAGATTTCAGTAACATTAGTAGCCAGAACACACCCAATGAATTAATGGTCAAATATCTTACTAATTTTGACAGAAGGCTGGTGGTAATGATTAACTTCAATTGATTCAAAGGACTTTATTCGTCTTTCAACTGCAAGGAAACCTGGAAAGATGGCTTCAAGTAATTTGGAAGGGGGTGGAGTTCCTTTTCTCAAAGAAAATTGACATGGAAGGGTTTTTCCCCCTCTGCCCTGTCCCTCCTCCCACCCCCCCCCCACCAATTTATACATTCATTCAACTCTTTTAACTAAGGCAATCAAAAGACAATTTCTTAGACCCCAAAACATCCTCAGAAGCCACAAATTAAGAACAAAAAAACAAAAAGAAACACAAAGAAATTAACAACCTCCAATGCTGAGGGCAACTCTATATAAAGTGCAGGATGGTTCACTGTTGCAGGTTTTGTGGATTTCATGTTAAAATTTCTTTAAAAGAAGGAGTGGACAGGAGTGCATCAGGACCCCAGCTATGCCCTGGGTTGAGAAATGACCCGTATGAGAAAGGTGATCTGTGGATCAGTCCTCACTTATCTTTTCAACTCTGGACACTGCTGAGGTAGGAGCTTCGGAAGAAGAGTGGAATATGTTACAGGAGTGAAGAGAGTCCTCTTGGCAAATCAGTGCCCTCTTGCTCAGTTGGGAGCCTAAGTTGGTCACACTCATGGGCCATGTGTGGCCTTACAAAATTCAAGATTTGTATCCAATCACAGCCACGGAGAGGAGAGAGCAAGATCCAAGACAAAGCCACGCGAGGCGGGCGAGACCCTGGCGCTGACCACAAGACATTTCCTGTCTAGTGCAAGCTAAAAGGGGTGGAGGTTTGGGGGGGGTGGGGGTGGGGTGGAAAACCCCGGCTGGCAACCTACAAAATGGTTATTAGCAAATGGTATCAAAAAAGTATCAAAACATTTCAAAAAACTTTAAAAACTGCCAGGGTTGGCAGATGCATAGGGCAGGATCTCCAAGTACCCATGGAGCTGCCCCCTATGCTCCAGAGGTTTGTCCTGGAGGCCAGGACACTGCCTCCTCCCCTCTGAAGACATTCGCAATCTACAGAGACAGCGAGGGTGTCAGACCACGGCTGGAACTGCCCCTCCAGGTTTGGGACCAGTGGTCTGAGATTCTAGCCAAAAGCTCCGAGAGCTAAAAGGCCTGTGAGGTGCTGCTCAGGCTGGAGCAGCAAGCCTTGGATGATCAGGGTAAGAGAAAGGCTGGTAACTCTACAAGGGGGTGGGGTGGAGGTCCTCTCACTTCCCACATTGCTCATATCACCAAAAGGTCACGCCTGGCCTTGGGTCCAGGTACTTTGAACTACAGGTGAACTCACCTGAACGCACAGAGTGGGGAGGGACTCCACCCCCTTTGGTGTTTGGGTTTCCACCCAAAACTGAAAAACCCCTTAGGGTTGGTTTCTGGGGTTTCTATTAAGTCACCATGAGGTTGCCTTATCAGTTAGGGGCGAAGGGAGGAACGTTCAGAATATAACACACACATGCGATTTTCTGCTGAGATCAAGATTTGAAAGTCCTCCCTGGTAGTCGATCTAAAATGGCAGAATGTTAAAAATACTGATTGAGCCATCCATACCACAAGCAAATTGCTGAGACAATCTCTGTATATTTTCAACAGCAGAAAAGACCACCAGAAAGAAAAAGGGTTTCTCCAGCTTCTCTATCTCCTTCCTTCTTTTATTAGACATTTATGTCTTAAGCTGTCAGGGCTCTGACTTGGATGAGGATCAAACTCAAAACCTACAACTAATATTAAGTGAAAACTCTAGTTCTTTAAAAGTGAGAAAAACAAAACCGGGAGAAAAGCCCACCATGCTTATCTTGAAAGATCAAAAAAAGAACCCAGGTAGTCTCAAAGTTCAGCTCAGAGAACTGACAATTTTGATGACGTAAGGGCAAATATGGCTGTTTTCATCTCAAGATGGCAGCCTGCAAGAATCCAGGCCTTTTTCACTTAGGTTTGAAATGACACCATCATGATTTTGCAGTTCGAATGGCCAATTAACTAAGGGCATCCCCGAACTCTGCCCATCTAAGTTAAAAACCCTTTTCTTCCATTCTTAGTTGGTGATTTCCATCTTAAAACATGTGCAGCAAAAGCCTGCTGTGGGTCCCACCACTTTGTTCTCTACGCCTAGGCAAACACTGCTCAGAGGTCATCACGCTGCTTTCCGTTGACCCTAACAAGCTTGAACAACTTTCCTAGTATAAGTGGAGCCACCACCAAGTCTTCAAAGTTGGTCCGCAAGAGGAAACTTAATTATCAAGTCTACCTTTAAAGGAACGCTCCCTGCACCTCGATAATATTAGATGCTGAGCCATGTCAATTGCAAACTGGCTTTACAGTGGTGGGAGAGACAACACGATAGGTACAGGACATTGTAAGTAACACAAAAGGCACAAGAAGTCAAAACAGAGGTCAGAAGCCCGCATCCTGGGACACGTTCTGGTCATTGAAAATACAACAGCTGGCTTAGGTTAAAAGTGAATGGCTGTCCTCTCCCCAAGGTCAAAGCCATCTGGCTCCCCAAAGCTCGAATAGGCTTTCTAGGAGCTCTTTCCCATCTGCCCCTGGATTCTGCTTGAATGCCACCTCTTCATCCATGACCTGAGCGGAGAACAGACCACAGGTTCCATGCCTTGTAAAGGGTCTTCAAGTAATGAACCCTTTATCGGAATTGCAAGGGGCTAAGCTATCCCAAAGTTGGCAGAAGTTCTGCAAAATGGGTTTTATGGAGGGCCTGGAACTAGGTATGAGATTAAAAGAAGTCTGGAGATGCTGGATTGGAGGAAGGTTAATAGTTAATGCAGGACTTCTCAGAGCCTTTAACACACAGAAGGGTTGTGAAGCAACAAGAAGAGCGCCGTTTTGGGTGTGTATGCCTTGCAGAACTTCTCAACCGTTGGTAAGCCTTTAGCGACTCCCATATGCAAAGAACCAGCTCAATACGTGGGCTGCTTGCCCAACTACCAAAAGAGGGCAAAGATTTGGGTCCTGATGCTTTCAAAGCCCAAGTCCCTTTCAACTCTCCTGGTCACTACAGAAACAGGCCCAGTCAAGGTAAACCTTGAAGGAAAGGAAAGGAAGTGCAGTAAAGGGACAAAAATAAACTAAGCTTACTCTAATGTCAATGTTAACGATACATCTTGACGTTTTTCTCGTCTCTGCAATCAGATCTCTGTCAAGGTAAAGATGGTTAATGCCTCCCTTGGCTCATGATTAAAACTGATCACACTCCTGGTTCTCCCATCGTACTTTATGATACACGGCGATTGGCTGGGAGCCTCGAACTCTCCTTAAAGGGCCCACACTGTTGATGTTCTCTTAACTGCCGGGATCAGTGCAGGGCGGTCATGCATCTCAGGAGGAGGCGCTGAATATATTTTAATAGCTTATATAGACTGAAAGAGCTTATCCCCTGGGAGGAGCCTGGCGATTATTTCATCTAACTCTGTTGCTTAATGAATGAGGAAACAGCTCAAAACTTGTTCAAGAATTTGCCCGGCAGCACACGGCTGGGACTGGGGTCTGTTGCTTGAGTTGGGGGAGGCACTAGACAACCTTCTTAAGGATCATTGTGTGCTCACTGGTAAAAAAAAAAAAAAAAGCTTCCGATGGCTTCTTGGAGCTGGAGTCACAGAAAACAATGGCAAATTCTAGGAGGTGCTGCCTTTTCCTTTCCTGAGAAATCAATGAATATTTGGGGGCTCAGGACATCAGTAATATAAGAAACAGTGGGTTCCAGAAAAAAAGCAAAAAAAAAAAAAGCACAGATTACAGAATAATGTTTATAAAGAGCTTCATGCCTTTTTTTTGTTTTTTGCTTTCTTTCCTGATTAGCTATACCCTTTTAGAATTCAGGAAGATTACCAACCAGGAAAAATGGGATTATTCAGAAACAAGTCACCTGATAAGAAAATCCGAGTGGGAACACCTGCCCGGTGAGAAGTCCCAGGTCTCGCCTGACTGTCCAGCCAGCTGGTGAACCTTGGTCACTCGCTCACACTCTTGGTGGTCTCTGCGTCCCCACTTATAAAAACGAATGCACTTGACCTTGCCAGTGATTCCCAAACGTGGCTGATGCTCAGTCAGCTTGGTTAAAATACAGTTTTCAGCCACTTCTCCCCACCACGCCTGGTAGTTTTAGATTTGGTCATTCTGAGATGTGGCCCAGGAATCTATTTTTAAAAGCACAGCCAGGTTTGGGGAGGCATTGATTAGGGGGTCTGAAACGTCTCACTGAGGCTTCTAGTTTCACTACCAAAAATTTCTGCATAAGCCCTGCCCTAGCTATTCTCAGGGGGATGGTTAGGGGCACCCCCAAGCATCTGTAATGTGGGGAGAAGCCCTGCGCAGACATAAGGGGATATTTCCTACCTGGGCCCAGGTTTAATTATTCAAGCAAGATAATAAGTAAAGGTACAGAGAATATTTAATCGATTACTGTGATATAGAAATACCAAGAATCATAAAAGTAAAAAAAAAAGCCGCTAAATGGTACATCCTGGTTCCAGGGTTCTACGAAGTTGCTGCTGGTCTACAGACACTCCGGGAGGTGGCGGTGGGGACGGGGTCCCGGCAGGCGAGGGCGGGGTCACTGGTCCCGGTCCTGGTGTCTCTTGGCCTTGCCCTTCTTCTTCTTGTCCTCCAGCCTCGGCTTCAGGGCACAGACGCAGGCGGACACGCCGGCGATGGCCTTGGGCAGGTCAGTGCCTTTGCTCCACTTGTCCTTCTCGCGGTCGTACACCTGGACCGTCTTGGAGAAGGCCGTGTTCTCCCAGCTGTAGCCGCCCAGGATGTAGATGCGGCCCTCCCACACGGCCACCCCCGACTCACTGTTGGCGTGCAGCAGCGGGGCCACACGGGTCCACTGGTTGCACTGCGGGCTGTAGGCCTCGACACCCAGCACGTCAAAGCGCTCCATGGATTCCACGCTGTCGTCGCTGCCCCCAATGGAATAGATGCGGTCCTCCAGGCTGCACATGCTGTGCCAGCCCCGCGCCGTGATCATGGGCCGCCGCTCTTCCCACACGTCCGTCCTGTGGTCGTAGCACAGCAGGTTCTTGCGGTAAGGGCCGATCTGGTAGTCGTGGCCCCCCGAGATGTACACGAAGTCTTTGTAGATGGTGCCTGCGTGGCCGTACGTGAACCTACAGGGAGAGATGGACAGAGAGTCAGAGAGGGAGTTCAGTGCCGCCCTGGGCCGGGTCTCTAATGAGCCAGGGCCTCAGTCTCCTCCTCTGTAAAATGGGGACAACCTGCCCTCTCAGGGGGTCATGAGGATTTGAGGGGATAACGCAGGGAGCAGACACCCCGTGAACACTTTATAGAGAGCAGCTGTCACTGGACAGGAAGTGGAGAGCAGGACGAGCAAAAGGGTTGCTCTGCAGCAGACCTCCTGGGCAAGAATCCCAGCGCTGTCCCTCTATTTCCCCACCTGAGAAGTGGGCCTACTCGTAAGGGCTGAAAACAACAGTATGCTATAGTGTGCTATAATATGTAGTATGCTATATATGTGTGTGTGTGTGCTATAATATGTACCTGATCAAATTACATATGAAATGGGGAATGAAAGAAAAGGCAACTCCAATTATATGACCTTCTGGAAAAAAGCAGTGGTTGCCAGGGGTTCAGAGGGAGGGGGAGGGTGAAGGAGTGGAACACAGGGGATCGCAGGGCAGGGACCCTATTCTGTATGATTCTGTGATGGTGGATACCAGAACCCACAGAATGTACAACATCAAGAGTGAAGATTAATATAATCTATGGATCTTAATGAACGCTATTGTATCAATATCAGTGCATCCACTGGAACAAATTTACCCCACTCCTGCAAAACGCTAAAAACAGGGGAAAGTGTGTGTGCTCATGGAGAGGTATATGGGAATTCTACTTTCTGTTCACTTTTCCGTAACCCTAAAACTACTCTAAAAAAAAAAATGAAGCCTATATAAAGGCAAAAACGAAAAACACAAAGTGCAAACAAAGGTGAAACAAAAGGTAGCAACGTCATAAAATTCAGGGGGGCGGTTACTTAGCCGGGAGGGAGGTGGGTGGGAGAGAAAAGCATATGTGGTGATACGGTCCCAGGCAGACGGGAGTCACTGTTCCATGTCCTGGCTCTGGGGTTGTTGGGCCATGAGCTCATGGAAGTCCATTACACAAACAAGTCCACAAATGAACAAAGATATGAATACATAAATGAAATAAATGTGGGGCACGCACTAATGAAGACAGCATCATGGGGTGATGGTTATTCCAACTTTGAACATCTAAGGTCCGCTTAGAAAGAAAGAATAATAGGCTTGCTGTCACCTTTAAGGTACGTAAATCACACTGGTTGGCCCAGAGAAAGTGACAGCAGCTGACGTTCTTATCACTAGTAAGCCTCCCTTCTCCACCTGTAAAACGGGATTAAGTACCCAAAGCTAGGAGACCACAGGTCTTGGTCTGCCTATGACAGGGTCCGTATTTATACCGCCGACCTGCCCCGTTTGCTGCCATCCTGTTATGGATGACAAATTGTACAGGAGCTTATTTCTGCTCCATCAAGTTACTGTAGACAGCAAGGGATTTATTACAGAGAGCATGTGGCCCAGAGCTGGCACAGCCAATCAGTCACTACTATCACGACTGTCCAATTGCCTTGGTAACAGGTCTCCTGGTGTTATTCCACTCTCTTCCCAGAACGCCCTACATGAATCTGGTGGTAACTAGGGCCTGGAGGAGCTGGGGTTCACACCTCATGCACCCTTCTAACTCTCAGGGATAAAGTCCCTAAGACACCCCAGGGCATTCTATGGCCAGACTGGTTCAGAAAGTGCTCCTGCAGGTTCAACTACAAGGAACTGGTCAAACAAACGGTGTGCACCTTCTGCTAGGCCTGTGATGGTAATAAATGCACACCGATGCAGACAGAATGAGGGGTGCTCTGAGCCCTGGAGCATTTCCCATGTGCTGCATGCCGTGAGGGGGCGTCCTAAGAAGAATCTTATCTCATCCTTATGACAACCCTATAGGGTATTATCATCATGCCCACTTTACAGATGAGAAAATGAAGAGAGCACAGGGAAGACACTTGCTCATGTCACAGATCTAGTACAGATGTCCCCCCACCTCTTTGAACTCCCCCTGCCCAGAGGTTTTTAGGCCAATTCCTCACTCTCTGAACTCAATACCCCTAAAACTCGGGAAGCAGACAGACTCGGGAACTGAGGGATGCTTGTCCTAGCAGCATAGCTGACACTTGCCCTCGAATGGCCTCAAACAGAAGCCCTGACTCATCAGCACCACACCCTCCCCCCATCCTGGTCTCTCCCACTGTTATGTACAAGCCAGGAGATTTTTCTGGAGGCCGAAATATCCAGAAAGTGAGGTGGCCTGAACACTAACCTAAAAGTCGTCACGTTTGGCGAGTCCGCCACAAAACCCCCAATCACCTTGGCAAACCGGCCACGTAGGACCAGGAGTCAGTCTTGGGACTGTAAGTCTCTACCGAAGAGAGAGCTCCGTTCTCATTCCGGCCACCGACGGCCACCAGCATGTCTTCAATGGAAGCAAGGTAGAAATCCACACGGCGCTGATTCATGGAGGCCACCTGTGGAGGTGAGACACCTGTACCTTCCCTTCCCAACCCTGGACAGCGTCAACATCTAGCCCCAGTCCCCAAAGGTGTTCTGTGGAACACACAGCCCGAGAAGGGAAGGCAGGCAGGGGCCAAATGAGTTTTGGGGGAAGGGAGTCCAACTTGAAGAAAGGAGGGCTCTTTAGGAGGGACTCCTCAGGGTCCCCAAGGATCCTTGGGACATTGCGAATCCCCAAGAGAGGGATGGAGAACACGGTTCCCCAAACTGGTTTGGCCAGGTGGCCAGCCTTACGGACTTGAATTCCACAGGACACACAGTTCATAAATGTTGACTGAGTGGTTTCCTTAAGTAAACACTCATCCTCCTTCTGGTGGCCCCATCAGATAGTTTTTTAATTAATGCTGATTGCCATCTGTGTTAACAGGCATAAAGTAGCACTCAATAGGAAATTAAAAAGCAGAAGACCCAACTTTTTTTTTTTTTTAAGTAACACCAGCAGAACACATGAATAAACTTTCCTGCAGGGGGCCATACATCGAGGCTGCCACTACTACTAAGCTTTTGAGGACAGCGCCAAAGCTGGAAGCCTCTTTCTAGTGGCAAGACTTCTATCTTGGTGGGTGGTTTCAGATTTTGGAGAATAAAATCGAAAGGTCATCCGAATCTATTCTGAGTTTTGAGCTCAGAAAAACACCGAGTTAAGTAAAAACACTGAGGTGTGAGTATAAAGACTGAGCCCAACTTTCTTGGATAGCGGCCTGGAGAAAGAGGCTTTTGTGGGAAAAAAAGAAACACCTTCTCTCTGCCAGGCACTTGGCAATCAATATGAGCTACAACCCCTGACTCTAGAAGGTCAATGCCACCCCGCCCATTTCCAGAGGGTTAAGTAGAAATTTGGAGAGGGCAAGGAACCAGCCAGCTGAAATCTCCAGCTACAATTTAGCCAAGCTGGGATGTGAACTCAGGTCTGACGCCAAGATCCACATTCTCCTCAGAATTAGCTGCCACGCCTGCCAAAGGGCACAGCTCCTATCAGGGGTGAGCCTCTGTGGCCTCCTTAAACTAGCTCCAAACCTTTCCAAAAGAGGAGCTCAGCCAAGGGAAGATGGTTTGAACCACGGGCCAAATCTCTAGACCAGCGCTATCCAATATGGCAGCCACTAGCCTCATGTGGCCATTTACACTCCAATATAAATGAGCTAAAGTGAAATCAAATTGAAAAATTCAGTCCTTCAGTCCCAGTGGCCACAGTTTCAAGTGCTCAACTGCCACACAGAGCTGGGTGGCTACTATATTGAACAGCGTAGCCATAGAATGTCTCTATGGGTGCAGAAAGTTCCACTGGACATCGCTGCTCTGGATAATGACCGGCCCTGCAGAAGGCAGCCGGTCAGCCCCTGCTCCTCTCAACCAGGATGCAGGCACAATCAACAAGGGAGGGTGGGAATTAGATGGCTCGTCACTTTATCGTCACACCTCGTTCAGAAGCAGGACGCTGGTCAAGGCCCGAGAGATGGGAGGGGCAGTGAAGGCTACGTTCAAGAGATCAAAAGTCCTCAAGAGTAAAGAAAGAATCTGGCTTTAATCTCACCTTGATCCACTGTTTACAGCGGGGGTCATACCTATAAAGAAGATTGGATGCTGCGTCCCCTCCATTGTCCCTCGAGAAGCTGCCACCAGCGATGAAGATGAACCCCCCCAACACGGCGACACAGTGGTGGCTCCGCCGGGCCGGCAGGGGTGTCTCCTTGACCCACTGTTCACTCTTGGCGTCCAGGTAGCAGGTGTCGTCACTCAGCTCCAGACACCGCTCGGAGACCTCGCCCCCCACGAACAGCAGGCGCTCCTCGTTGGTGCGGAGCGCCGTGCGCTTGGTCTGCATGACCGGCTGGGCCGCCAGGCTATTGTGGTAGCACACGGCCTCCTCGATGAAGCCCTCGCAGTTGGCCTCCCTGGGCAGCAGCGAGCACACAGCCGGCTTGACGCGGTGGAGCAGGTCGTTCTTGGGGATGAGGGGGAAGTGGATGTGCTCCAGCACCTGGTAGGCATGGGTCTCGCGCTCCGGCTGCTGCGTCAGCCACTGCAGGGCGGCCTGCAGCAGGTCGTGCTCGCATTCCCGCTGCACCTCGCTGCTGCTCAGGTACAGGCACAGCTTCTGCATGGAGATGTTCTGCAGGAAGTCGGGCGTGAAGGACAGCGTGCCAAAGTGGCTCAGGATGAAGCCGTCGATGAAGGCGTCCAGCCGCTTGAGGCTATAGATGGAGGCCAGCTCCTGCAGGTACAGGTAGTTGTCCTCGCTCACCTCCTGCTCCAGGTACTCGCAGCAGAAGTCTACCACCGTCCAGATCTGCAGCAGGTGGGCTGTCTCCAGGATGTAGTCGATGTTGCCGCCATCCAGGGCCAGCTCCCCGCCGTACAGGAAGTCCACCACCGCCTTGAGGCCGATGTAGGAGGCGCCGATCAGCTCCACCTCCTTCTGGAAGGCCTCGCGCATGCCCAGGGTGAACATGGAGTTGAAGTAGTCGCTGCACACGGCCAGCAGGTTGCGGTGGGCTGGCACGCGCTGCTCGTCGGCCACTAGGACGATGTCACAGAAGAGACCGCGGAGACGCTGCTCATTCAGCCGCTGCAGCACCGTGGTAGAGTGCTCGGCCCAACGGTATACCTATAGGAGAGCACGTGTTTCAGGGCTCCACGGATACCCAGGCCCGGACGGGGGAAGTGCACTGACCTGCCCCCGACAGCTGTAGCGTCCTGGAGTCAATCTAGTACAACATGACTGCATTTTAAACACAATGGAATGAAAAAGAGTGGGAAATAAAATATCACAGTGTATCGTAGTAAATAAGGGTGTTTGTATGTGTGTGGTTGTATTGTACATATCCTTCCTTCCTTCTCCTTTATAAATAAAATTCATAAAATCAACTTCCTTCCTTCCCCCCTTCTTGTGGGTCGTGAGAAAATAGGTTTGAAAAACACTGTCCGATCACGCGCGATGAAGTGGCTCAGGGTGTCATCTCTGAAGTCAGACAGAATCAGGGTTTGAATGCAGCTCTACCACTTACCAGCTGTGTGATCTTGGGGTGAGTCACAAGGAGCCTCTAAGCCCCATTTCCTCCTCTCACAAGTGAGGATGATGGTATTCACTGCTCAGGTTGGGGGTGGGGGGGTAGGTGTGGGGGGCAGTTGATGCAACAGATCCTGGCAAATAGCCAGGCTGAGGGAAGCTGTTGTGTCAGTCCCCACCAAGGCTCTGTGCTGAGGAAGACAGCTTTCTCTTTGTCTTAGAAAGGCACAGGGTCACATGCTACAGAGACCCCCATTTCTACTGATCAGTCCAGGGATGTGGCACGTACCAAACAGAAGCTGAGCGATGTATCCAGACTGAGGTGCTCTGGGGATCCTACTTCCAGAAACATGGCTTCACCAGCCATTGTCAGGGTCAAAAGAGATATGCTGCATGTAAAATGCAGAAACGCTATCTATTCCTGGGGGCTTATATGTACCCTGTGCTGTGCTGTGCACTTGACATGCACTCTGTCATTCAAGCATCACGAAAACCCTCCAAGGGAATGTCTATTATAATCCCCATTTTCCAGATGAGGAAAGTTGAGGTTCAGAGAGACTAAGAAACTTGCCCAAAGCCCCACAGTGACTGGGCGGCAGGGCTGCGATTTGAACCTAGGTCTGATGCCAGAGCCCAAACCTGTAATCACCATCCTATGCTATTAATAGAACTAACAAATCAATTAATATGAATAATGACCATGGATTAATTCCATAAATTCAGGTCAGTAGACATTTATTGAGCGACGTGCTTTTGAGGATACAACGATATGTCAGACCCGGACAACAGTTTCTAAATCCTTGGAGGGCCAATTATGCTTTGGGCTTTGAGGACACTACACAGTTATTTATTCACTACAAAAACAAGAAAATTCAATACAGGGAAAACCAGGCCATTCAGAAATATCAACTAGGTAGCTGGTCTATTTGAGGGCGATTGAGCAAAAGAGCTGGCTGAGCATACAGCCTGAAAAGGGGGGAAAGGTGGTGGAAAGGGGGATGGACTGAGGGCTTAGCAGGTGTGAGCAGCTGTGTGATTGGCATCCAGGTCCAAATTCTTACAGGTCACTTCTCAACACGTGTCCTACAGCAGTGAGTTTCCTATCTTTCTTCCCCTCCAAATGTGCTCTTTACTGCCTCTGACCCATTTGTAACTGGGGTACTTTATCTCCCTGTGGTCCTTCCTCATCTGGTTAATCCCAACATCAATTGCTCTGTCTATATTATAGGTGAAGACAACCACCTCACATTCTGATGAGGACCCCAGACAGATATTGCCTAAAGCTCCCCTTCCCATCCACATTTTGGGAGCCAGGCTCCACCGCTCTTACGTGACAGGGTGGTTTCTCATAGGCTCCATGGACAGATAGCGCCATTTATTTTGGTTACTCACTGAGAGAGCCCGGCTGGCCTGGTTTTGGCTTCTAATTAAGCAGGAATGGTCAGGGCTCCAACACGCAATGGCTTGGGGCCTCTCTCAGGTGTAGACTGCAGAGTGGAAATTAAAAAGCACTGCAGCAGCAGGCTATCTCATAATGGTAAAGGCTCAGTGTCCTGAGAGAAGTTAAGTGAGGGGCCTCAGGTGTGCTGTCTGCCCACCCTGGGGCTCGGGTTGTCTCTAAGCTGGTGAAGGTGCTGGAACTCCACACTTCAATGGGGGTACACATGACCCCAGGCTGCTCCATAAAAAGGGAAACAGCCCTGAGGGGGTGGGGACCAGGGAAAGCCCCAGACGACAGCTGCCAAGGGGAACCATCTGCTCCAGTGAGCCAGAGCAGGGAAAAGGGCAGAGCGGCTTCTAAAACTGCATCTCCATGCTAAGTAGGCGTGTTTAACTCTGTACCTGGGTCTCCACTACAGCCTGTTTCTGGTTCTTTTAGTGTAGCTACAGAGACGAGAACTTTCAAAAAACAGACAAACACAACTTCCCCATTTTAAAGGGACATCCGTAACAGAATTGCAGCATTTCATGTAATTTCAAAGCCCCTGAACCCCAGCATTCTCTGACGGTAGTAACCTGGTTCACCCCTTCATTTCCCACGTTAGTGCCTTTTTTAGAGGCAAGGCAAGGTGGGTGGAGGAACATAGGTACTCAGGAGCTAATACTGGACAGATGCAGCAGCAGGTAGAGGGTATTTCTTATTAAAAAAAAAAGAACTCAGCATCAAAATGGATCAACACATTTTAGAGTAGGTAAGTAACAGTGTTGGTCACACAATGGAAGGCTCCATCGCACGAGAAGGAACAATCCACCACTACAAGCAGCAACGGGGGCAAACCTCAGATGCATCATGCTGAGCGCAAGGAGCCAGGCGCACGAGAGCACCTGCCCTCTGATTCCATTTACATCAAGTTCAAGGGCAGGGAAAACTATGGCGTTGGGAGAGTTGCGATGGAGAAACTGGAGGCGTTTGGTAATGTTCTTTTTTGTATTTGGGTGCAGGCTACAGGGGTGTGTTAATGTCCAGAAAATCAAGGGTACACTTACGGTTTGGGCACTTTCTGAATGTAAAAAGTTAGGAATGTAAATACCATCAACCAAGGGATACAGAACCCTATTCCTAAAAGCTTCGATTCAGAAAGAAACCAACTCAGGATCTGGCTTTAACGGACAAAGATTTCTAGTGCTATCAAACTTAGAAAGCTACACTGTCTCCGCAGCCAAGCCCCGAAACAAAGACCCATTGAGTCAGCAGGGAGACCTTTCTGGGTTTTCACAGCAGATAAAGCCGGGCTTGGCAAGAGCCTTCTCAGTCAACACAAATGGAAACAGGAGACCATTTCTCAAGAGAACCAACCTCTCCTGAAAATTACACCCCCTTTTTCTTTTATGCACATCTGTAGCACTTCTTTCTTTTCTCAAATCTGCAGGCTGCTCACAACTCCCCTTATCTAACCTGGTCTTTCTCAATCGCTGTTTTGTCTTCTTTTTCAATCTTAAGATTTTTTTTTCTAATAGCCTCCATGAAATGTTAATACCACATATATTCTGTTTAATCATCAAAAGAGTCAAAATTCTTTCCACACCCCAAGAACCAATTTCACCCTTTTGGGGGCAATATTGGCCTCACTGAGAATGATGCTCTAAGGTAACCATAACATTTAATTTCCAAAAAGGGCCGCTTTTAAAGAAACGCTGTCTTTTCCTGGGGGCTTATATGTCCCCTGCACTATGCTGTGCACTTGACATGTACACACATGCTGATAAGTATAAAGAGATAGGTATAAGCAGGGACTGTCTTGCAACTCAATCTCCCCAATCCTTATCTATAGCAGCTGTGGGGACAGGGGCTGTTCTGAGTCCCTAGAGGAGTTTGCTGAAGGTATAGATTCCCAGGTCCTGCTCTTAGATTTTAATTGAGCAGGTCTGGGGTGGTGCCAGCCATATACATTTCTAATGAGATGCCTTCTCCCAGGGTGATTCTGGTGCAGTACTGTGACACAGGTTGGTAGCCCAGCCCTGGGAAACCACCCTCACTCCTTCCTAGGGTCCCAGAAAGTCACGATGGGGGAAGACCCTGGGCCCTTAATATCCAGGAATGCAACGTGCTGCCTCCACCATCAGCTCAGGTGCTGGCTTCTCAATGGCTTGTCCTTGGAGTTTTTGAGCACCCAGGTAGGGACAGCAATCCCATGGCTTTTATCCTCTTAGAGTTGGGGCACAGAAATAAATGAGATGAGCTGTCTCTAATGTCCCTCGCACGCCTAGCTAGCTCTGATTTTATAATTCTTCCACTCCTGGCCCATGCTACCTCCGCTCATCCTTAAGGAGATGAACACCACCACCAAGAACAGAAAACCAGTTTGTACACTGAGGAAGAGCTCATCAGAAAAACACCATCCTTCTTAGGCAATTTGCACAGCTGGTGAGCGACCGTTCACAGACCTTTGAAGATTCGCTGATCTTGTAGGGCCGAGACACTCGCGTCTGCCGGCTTCCCTCCATCATAAAAGTGGTCACGCTGCCCTACAACAAGAACAGGATTTCTGAGCATGTAGTAATGGTAATGGCTCTGGGTCATTTGTTAATTGCAGGCTCTGTTGGTTGGTATCAGTGACAACAAGGGCGAAAGCAGTCACACAGAGGACAGAGGGGAAGAAGACAGTGTACTACAAAGAACTCTCATACTGAGTTGAAAATTCAGATTGTTAACATCAGAGAGCACCTTTAACAAGTGTTCCTTTATCATCTAAAAACCCAACAACACCATGTCTTTTAGCCCATCTCCTACAAATACCTACCTTTGGACGCTTGATCTCAACTAGGCCTTTTGGCTAGATCAGGGGTCGGCAAACTTTTAAGACGGAAGAGCCAATCCTGTCCCTCACAACAATTTAAAAATTATTCGACAGCCATAAAACAAATGAAATCACCATTATGTGAATAATAGCCTTTTAAAACTTTATAAATAAAACTATGACAGTTTTATTGTCATTTTCAATTTTACTTCAGAGCCACACATACGTACCCAAAGAGCCGCATGTGGCTCGCGAGCTGCAGTTTGCCGACCCCTGGGCTAGATCAAGGTTATAATGACAAGAGTTACCATTTCAGGGTCCAGACCCTGGAACCAAGCTAAGGGATTTACACGTGCTGTCTCATTTTACCCCACAACTACTTGGCCGGGCTGATGTCACTCATCCCATTTTACAGATGAGGATATTTATTGGGTTAAAAGTCGCAAAGCTAGTAAAATGGCTGGGGAACAAACCTGGGTCTTTCACCGTGATGTTCTGCTGAGCGTGACCCCGTCTTTGAGAGGGTCAAGGATGTGGTGCAGTGATCACTACCACAAATAAAATATGTTCTAGACACAGGTACTGGATTAAGTGATTTCCTGACTGAATCCCCACAACAACTGATGAGGCCAACACTATTATTATTCTCAGTTTATGGAAGAGGAAGCTGATAGCAATGAGAGGAAGTAATCTAACAGCATCACACAGGAAGAAGCCGGCAGACTTGGGATCCTAACCCAGGGTGATTTCCATGCACTTAACCGCCTGGCCAGAAAATAAAAGTAAAATTAAAAAGCCCGCAGGCAGGAAACCTCTGCTGGGGCCTATGCCCTGCCTGGGACATCCAGGATAAACTTGAACAAGCATGTTAACCTCAAACAAGCATGTTAACCTCAAACAAGCATGTTAACCTCTGTAGACCTCAAGGCTGCGTTTTTGTTAAGGCTTCTTCCGGCTTTGAAATGCGAAGTAACTCACTGACAGCAGGGAGTCGGGCTTTGGGGGACCTCAGGGGCAGGGGACACACAGAGGAAAGACTAAGCCAACAATATGGGCACAAGTCAATACTGGGACAGAGGGTTTAAGAAGGAATTTTTTCCTTGCTGAGTTGACAAGAGTCATTTGTTACCTATTTAACAAACGTCCTTTGCTAGTAAAAAAAACGATATAACAAGAAGTCAGCACTGTTTCAAGATAATAAGAACCAAAGAGGCGGCTCAGTGTTCCCAAAGAAGGAATAACTTTGGGCACAGTTCATCCTGTCCAGCTTCCTGAGGGAAGGAAGTGGACAACTAGACTTCTCTTGACAAACAAGCAACTTTGTGACAACGACCAGCTATACCCACCCCTGTCCTTTCTGACAGACCCTCAGCTGCTGGGGGGGGGGGGAAAGAAACCACATTCATGCAGTGCCTACCACACATCCCTGACTTCCTTCTATCACCTTCACCCTCTGAGACAGGTGCCACCATCATTTCTGA